TGACCCTCCGACAGTGCGGCGCTCCCTCAGCACTGACCCTCCGACAGAGCGGCACTCCCTATTGGGCCGTGAGCTTGAGCCTGTAGTCTCAGTTGTCCATTGGAATGTTTTTTTCCAGAGTTTAGAGTCTGCGAGTCGGAGCTGACACTTTGTCAGACGATGTTGGGGAGCCTCTGGGTTTGGCAGCTCCCTGTTTCTGCCTGGGTTTTGTCAAAGCCAGAGCCCAGGAAGCTATGGTTTATTTTGTCCCTAGTGCACTCAATGCAAGTGGAACAGCCATAGGCCATTCAGCCCATCTGTTTAGCACTGCCATTGGACGAGATCATGGTTGATGTGATCGTCGTTTGCTGTTGTTGTGTTATAGGGACTGTCTGCACACGACCTGCTGTCTCCAGCCCAGCCACCCTGCATCCATTCAAGACTGAGTACAGCATTGGAGAGAGCATCCAGGTCCGCTGCCCTCCTGGGATGAGAGCAGCTGGTCAGCCTCAGTATGAATGTGGGGCCAGCCTCTTCTGGGAACCTGACCTGCCCCAGGAAATTCTCTGCCAGTCTGGTAAGATCACACATTGCCCTGAGGAAACCCCTCTCCCCCCGAACCCTTCCCTCAAAAACTCCGTCAGCCCCAACACGAGGTGATGGGGCATCCGTGAGAAAACTCAGTCCCTTTCATAGAACACAAGGGGTAGCTCTTTAATCAGTTAACAGTGGGTAGATGGTGGGCACAGGCTGGTTAGTCATTTACATACCCAAGAAATGGTCTGGGTCTGTGGCTTCAAATCCCAGCACAGCATCTGGTGGAATTTAAACTTAATTGCTAACAATTTGGAACATAAAGCTGGTCTCAGTGATGGTGATCATGACACTACCATCAATTATCCTAAAAACCCTATCCTCTTCACTAATGTCCTTAAGGGAGTGAAATCTGCCATCCTTACCTGGTCTGGCCTACATGTGACTCCAGGCCCACAGCAATGTGTCTGACACTTATCTGCCCTCTGAAATGACCGAGCAAGACCCTCACTCAAGGGGCAGTTAGGGACATGCTGTGAAAGAATACAGAAACTCTGGTGTCCCTGCTTTAGGAAAGATGTTGCTAAACTTGAGAAGGTGCAGAAAAGATTTACAAGGATGTGGCCAGGGTTTGGAGGGTTTGAGCTATAGGGAGAGGCTGAATAGCCTGGGGCTATCTTCCCTGAAGCATCGGAGGCTGAGGGGAGACCTTATAGAGGTTTATAAGATCATGAGGGGCATGGATAGGATGAATAGACAAGGTCTTTTCCCTAGGGGTAGGGGAGTCCACAACCAGAGTCCTTAGGTTTAAGGTGAGAGGGGAAAGATTTAAGAGGGAACTGAGGTGCAACTTTTTCACAGAGGGCGGTGTGTGTATGGAGCGAGCTGCCAGAGGAAGTGGTGGAGTCTGGTACAATTAAGGCATCTGGATGAGTATATGAATAGGAAGGGTTTGGGGGGATATAGGCCAAATGCTGGCAAATGTGGCCAGATTAATTTCGGATATCAGGTCAGCATGGACGAGTTGGACCGAAGGTTCTGTTTCCGTGCTGTGTAACTCTATGACTCTATAACAACACGAACTGCCTCAGTCAGCCTGGGTCTGTTTGTGTCATTACTGATGATTCTTCTACTCTGTAGGTATCGACAGCTCACACTGTGACCCAGGACAGAAGGCAGATGGAGACCAGTGCGTCTGCAAGTCAGCAGATGAGGACTGCGGGTATGTTATAGACTGCGCTCCAGCCCTGCCTCTTTCACTGCCTGCCAGCCCTTACTAACTCTGTTCTTACATGTCTGTGTTAATATTGTTTGTTGATGCACTCACCACCACCACTCACAAAAGGAACAAGTTTTGAAGTGATGTGCAAATGAAACAAGGGTATTGTGAGAAAATGCTTTTCCACACAGAATTATAGAAACGTAGAGAATAGATTTTGGCCTCAACAAACTCACCACTCTGTGGGTGAAGAAATTTCTCCTCATTTCAGTCCTAAATGGTCTATCCCAAATCCTTTGAGCAAGACCCCTGATTCTGAACCCCTCCCCAGTCATCGGGAACATCCTTCCTATATTTACCCTGTCTTGTCCTGTCGGAATTTTATAGGTTTCCAAATTCCAGTGAATATAATCCTAACCAGTTCAACTTCTCATAGTGACCCACCCTTCCCAAAGACTGATGACCTTCTGTGAAAGAAAAATATTTCTTCTTGTCTGTCTTAAAACCCTTAAATGAAACTGTGTCCCTTATTCCAGCCTCTCGCACCAGTGGGAGCAACCCCTCAGCCTCCAGCCTGTTAAGATGCCAGAGGATCTGATATGCCTCTGTGAGACCAGCTGTCGTTCTTCAAAACACCAATGGGTAGAGGCCCAGCATACTCATCTCTCCTCAAAACGTATACCCCCCCATCCAGGAATCAATTAGATGAATCTACTCTGAACTGCTTCTAACATAGTTATATCCTTTTTCACGTAAGGAGACCAAAACTGTACACAGTACTCCAGGTGTGGCCTCACTAAGGCTCAGTGCAGTGACAGTAAAACATCTCTAATTTTGGACTGAGCAATAACAGTTCTGTGATGCCCTTCGATGTCCGGGGCTGCATGCGCGCTACACTGAGTGGATCAGCGTGTGCCTACCCTACGCTGCCAGCTGTGGGTAACCTGTTGAACCCCATTCGTGATAGGGATTGGGAATTGCAATTATTTCCCATGAACGAGGAATTCCCGGTAAGTGTGGGTCATAAGCTCGCGTTGATTAAGCCCCTGCCCTTTGTACACACTGCCCGTCACTACTAGACCATTTTTGAAGAAGGGCCCCGACCTTGAAATCTCAGCTTTCCTGCTCCTCTGATGCTGCCTGGCCTGCTGTGTTCCTCCAGCTCCACACGGTGTTATCACAGTCATCCATAGGTTCCTTTCTCAGTGCAATTTATTACTTTGTGCAAAATTTTGAAAAGCCTTGGCAGTTAATTGTCAGTCTTCATTAACTGATGCATTCTCCATGGCAATGCTTCTACTAGTATCCATTTCCAGCCAATCAGAGTTTACCTGCTATAAAATAGCACTGTATTACCAAACAACTAAAAGTAAGTTATTGAGTGGGTAGAGACTCGTAGGGGGTCATAGATGTTAATTTATTAAATATTTAGTGTTTAATAGAGGAAGAACTGGGGCCAGTTTGTCCTCCACACTCCAACTCACAGACAGTTTGTTAAACTCTTCAGATCATCCCTCCTCATTTCTGGGTGGAAGCTAATTCTTAAACATATGCCAATTCACAGCAGCTGCTCTCCTTCATTCCTCGAGCACAGGATATGGAGAATGTGCCAGTTAATGAAGACTGACAGTTAACAGCCAATGTTTTTCAAAATTTTATACAAAGTAGGAAATTGCACTGAGAAAGGAACCTGTGAATGACTGTCACCTGTTTTGTGGAGCTAAAATAGTTGCAGTGTGTGTATCAGTTCTTCCTGTCTACAGAGGAGAGGAACCTGTGCTTTGGTATGTGTAGATTCCAGTACATCCCAGTGCACTGTACAGTCTAAATTTCATTTTCCCTTTATATTGATATTGCTTGTGAGTTGTCCTGATAATGTAACACAAAAAGCTGCATTGTCTGGTCTCCTTTAACTGTTGTTTCATTTGCTACCTTAACGTCTTCGGGTATATTAGCCACCCTGAATGAGAGTGTGACTATGCAAGTCTACATCTGTGTGCCTGTGTCCATCTGTATGATCTTCTCTAAGGGACAGCGTGTGTGTGCCCTCAGCTGTGTTTCTGCGTATGAATTTTTAAAAATTCATTTTGTGGGATATGCGTGTCTCTGGCTGGTCCAGCATTTATTGCCCGTCCCTAGTTGCCCCTTGAGAAGGTGGGGGTGAGCTGCCTTCTTGAACCACTGCGGGCCATATGCTGTAGGTTGACCCACAATGCCCCTTAGGGAGGGAATTCCAGGATTTTGAACCAGTGATACTGAAGAAACAACAACGTATTTCCCAGTCAGGATGGTGAGGGGCTTGGAGGGGAACTTGCAGAGGGTGGTGTTCCCATGTATCTGCTGCCCTTGTCCTTCTAGATGGAAGTGGTCGTGGGTTTGGAAGGTGCTGTCTGAGGATCTTTGGTGAATTTCTGCAGTGCATCTTGTACATAGTACACACTGCTGTAACTGAGCGTCGGTGGTGGAGGGAGTGGATGTTTGTGGATGTGGTGCCAATCAAGCGGCTGCTTTGTCCTGGATGGTGCCGAGCTTCTTGAGTGTTGTTGGGGCTGCACCCATCCAGGCAAGTGGGGAGTATCCCATCTCACTCCTGACTTGTGTCTTGTAGATGATGGACAGGCTTTGGGGAGTCAGGAGGTGAGTTCCTCACTGCAGTATTGCTAGTTTCTGACCTGCTCTTGTAGCCCCTGTGTTAGTGCGGTGAGTCCAGTTGAGTTTCTGGTCAATGGTAACCCCCAGGATGTTGATAGTGGGGGATTCAGTGATGGTAACACCATTGAATGTCAAGGGACAGTGGTTAGATTGTCTCTTATTGGTGATGGTCATAGCCTGGCATTTGTGTGGCGCGAATGTCACTTGCCCCTTGTCAGCCCAAGCCTGGATATTGTCCAGATCTTGTTGCATTTGAACATTGACTGCTTCAGTATCTGAGGAATCGTGAATGGTGTTGAACATTGTGCAATCATCGGCGAACATCCCCACTTCTGACCTTATGATGTCATTTGCGGGACAGTGTGTGTGCAGTCCCTGGTCTGTATGTGGCTGTGAGCCTGTCTGTTTAATGCTGCGT